AAGTGTGTGAATTATTAACTATCACACGCAGACACACAACTGTTAGCAGTTTCAGTCACAAAGATGAAGTGTGTGAATTATTCAATATCACATGCAGACATAACTGTTAGCAGTTTCAGTCACAAACAAAGATGAAGAAGAATGTGAATTATTCACAAAGATATTCATCAGTTAAAAATACAGTATTCATCCAGAATGTACTGGCAACTATAGTAAATACCAGTAATGATTGGTATCCTTATAACATGAAAGGTCAATGCATTTATATGATAAATGTTCTTTTACTACCTAACCATACCATTAGCACTTGTGAGCCTCCTTCCATTATACTTTAGGACACACAAAAACAAATAGGGTCGTAGCATTAGTTTAAGTCACCATATAAAAAGTTATTATAAGTTCTTCCAGATGCACTGTTAGCACTAAGTTAACAAGTCCATTAAACGTTTTAATTTAGTGATCCAATTACTTTATGAAACAGATGAACAATATCTATATTATTAAAGAAAAAGTCAATTAAAACCTCATTCATTCCAAAGAGTGCAACCAACAAAATTTTTTTTAAAATTAATGTCAAAAAGTGCCTTACACTGCAAACAAAATCAACAAAAACCTGTAGAAAGATACAAGTTTGTGTGAAACAAAACTCATGTCGATCACTAACAGGATGATTATTATATGGAATATAATTGTGAAATATTTATCTCTCATGATAAAAGCTCATAAAAGAGTTTTGTCTATCCAAACCACATAGAAAAATGTTTACAAAAACAATAAAAAATACACGTACAAGGGAGGAACTGTAGCACAAGTTCTTTTTAGGTCCTGTAACTGCACAAACAAGCTATTGAATATTCACCAATTTCCTTCCCAGAAAAAACTATTGGTTTAAGACAGACCTGAGAAGTCTTAAAGACACCCAAACAAATTTATCCCAATCATTCTCGGAGCTTTCAACGTATTTGAACTGTAGATTTGTAGCTAATGAGTTTCAAAATAAAATAGAATCATTTCTTCAAGTCTTTACAATTTTTCTTTAAGTAACTTAGATTTATCAATATTGGAACAATATTTACATGAGCCATACCAAAATTATAAAATACTTATGTGGCTAATTTTGTGTATAATTAAACTGTTTTGATATTATAACTTCAATATAAATTTCATTATCAAAATCTTAGCAATGCATGTATCCCTCCCCCCATTGCATTCAATATTGAAATCATAGTCAAGTAGTTTTTGAAAAACAGATTCAAGATTGTTTCTACATTTTTCTCAAGTGTCTAATGAAATATCACATAAATAATGAGTACATTTTATCTATAAATTCTAAATACACACAAATCTAAAGAAATAATACCTTATTGATCTTCTCTTTAGGATGTCTCAAAAGTGCAGGGAAATAGGACAAAGCATTGAAATTGAGCACTACCTGGGTCTGTTCATCTGTTCCGGTAACAATATTTCCTACTGCTCTTAAAGCTGCTGTCTGCAGTTTATAAATTTCATATGAAATATCACTTTATTGACACAATTTTCTTTATAAAAATAAAATATTTGATAGATGTAATAGTTTACTTCTAAACTAAATATGCAGCACTAAGTCTTCAAATACATTTCTAATTAAATTGTAATTACTTTTATCATACTTTTATAAAAGTTTTTCTTTTTTGTTATACTAAGCTTACTGTGTTTATTGAGGAGGAAAGTAAAAAAGACTTTCAAAATTTAAGTAATTTAGAAAAAAAAGGCTATAGACATCGGGAAGACACAAACCAAATTTTTAGCCCGAACACTAACATCACTAAAATTCATCACCTGAACTTTGACTTCTTTGTGACACAAGAGAGGTACTAATTGTTGAACTACTCCAGCATCAATGACCATCTGAAATGACCATTCAAATTATGTTGTGATTTGAAGTTTGTGAGCAAGATTTGTATACTAAAAACTCATTGTTTTCTCTCTTAAAATTAAAGGTTTTTTTTCTTTATGAATATAAGTATTTTTCTGAAGCCAGTCACTAACAGTATCTAAACTTGTGTTAAAAAAATGCTTGATAATTTTGTGTACAAATGATACAATTTCTTTTTCCTTATTACTCTTCAAATTACCAACTTGTTTTTATACCGTTCGCTACCAGATAAGTCAACAATTTATCTATTTTCCTGTTACAATTCTTAAAGAACTGACCTGAAATAATGGATGAAATTAATTATTTTTTGCTTAAAATACAGAATGACCCCTACCAGTAATTAGTGGGATTAACTGCAATGTTTATGGCAATTTTGCTTACATTTTTCATGATGCTTGTATCATTAGGAATCCTTTAGCCAAGGTCATGGCTCACAAGAAGTTTCGTACATAAATAATTTAGAAAAATTTCTAAAACGCTATTAGGAACCTATATGAACCTCATTGGTAATTCTAGGGTTAAGTGGTGCTATATCTCTTAACATTTTGTATGTGATTACAAGGGCAATGGCCTGGCACGGCCAGATGGTTAGGGTCGTGGGTTCATATCCCCTTCCCACCAAACATGGCTCGCCCTGTCAGTTATGGGGATATTATAATGTGATGGTCAAACCAATTATTTGTTGATAAAAGAGTAGCCCAAGAGTTGGCGGTGGGTGGCGATGACTAGCCGCCATCCCTCTAGTTTATCACTGCTAAGTTAGGGGGATGGCTAGTTCAGATAGAGCCCCACAAAATTCAAACCAAACCAAACTACGAGGGCAAATATTAATTCTTCAACAGTTGATGCATCTTTCATATAATTGTGCTTTAAATGAATTCACCCCAAACCTAAAATCTTGAATTTAGTAAATGTGTATGTTTAAGGACAAATAGCATTTTAACTGTAGAAGTTTAGAAACTTATCAACTGATTTTCTTTCCTCTTTTAAATTCAAGTAATTTTTAGCAGATACACATGGCTCTGAATCACAAATTTTTACAATAATGTATGTGTATATCAAGGGTATAAATATTTTTCTGAATAAGATTACAAAAGATATGGAAAGAATTTTGAAATTATAAAGATGCGGGAAGAATTTAGGGTCATGGAAAAGAATAAAACGAGAAAAGGGCAAAAAATGGGAAGCATCTATCCTTATATTTGGACTTTTCCTGGCTACTGATGCACACTTCTGACTTGAAATTACTGATAACTGCACTAAAATTACTGTGCAAAGAGATAACTACAAATAAATAAAAATCTTTTTTTTAGGCTTGATTTTAGATTAACCACTGTCATATACGCTTTCTTTGTGGGATCAATACAGTATCTGTGGTTTCAGTCCTTTAGCTGTGCGGCCCTCTCTCTGAGTTAACTTGGAGTTTTACCTCTTGGTTCATCATTAAAATGTCCAAACGACAAGTAATTAACAACCTTTATGTACATATTTCATACTTTATTTATACAATCTGTACATGTCAGGCTGAACGACACATAAACTGGAAAATTCTGAAATCCAGCATGGCTCAGGTTCCAAGCATTCCTGATTTGAGATCGAGTACCTGTACTAAATAGTAGTTACCTATGAAGAAAGCATTGTTTGATTTTCTAAAATATTGGAATGCCTTGAAAACTAGAAAGTTCTATTTGTGTTTATTTAATGAAAAACAGTGCAATGGGCTATTTTTGTTGTGCCTACTACAGGGATTGGAACCAAAGTTTACATGTTACAAGCCCTCAATGTTACTGTTTAAAGTGAAAAAAAAATCAAGAGTAAATGAAGCACTAAGCAAACATCCTACCTGTATCTGTTCATTACCACCATCAGTAAGATAGGACAGTGCCCAAACAGTGTCGACAAGAATCTGTACAGAAAGAAAATAATTTATAGCTCGTTAGAAACTTGTTTAAGGTTTATTATTTTAAAACATTAGGGTTACATTCAGGTACATTACATATACTCCACTCAATAACATACAGTATTTAACCCACTGACTACAGCTACTCTAACACGTGTGGAATTTTTGCAAGCAGTATACTCTAAACAGCCCACTCGCATTCAACTGCTGGAGGCGGACCATGTCCTATATGTCAAATCAGCAATCAATGGGTTAATTATGCTATGACAATGAGAAATGCTATATAACAGCAACATCATTATCAAAGTGTAACAAGTACATGCATCATACCTCATTTAACAGGAATAGGAAGCTAATACCATACATTCACCAAATTATTATAAACAAATACACAAACTTTAGTTCATTCATATAGTGTGATCATAGTTCTTTTACTAACTTAACTGATTATTTCAACTTTCAAACATAAATTAATAATTCTTATAAGCTCAAAATGTTATTGCCAAACTTTCAGTTCTTGATGGTTGTCATTAAAGCAGTACTAAAGTGAAGCCATACAATAAAAAAAAGGGCATTTCTTAAGGTTGGCAATCAATACAGAACTAGAAAGTACTCAAAACAAAATATACAGTTCCACTTTCCCAGAATTGCTAAAAGTTCTCCATCCACTGCTGTCACAAAATAATAATAATGCTATTGCGGTTGAAAACTTTAACAATAGACATGCTTCATTTAAATCTATTATCAGTAACCTTGTTTTAGAACTTTAATTATCAAGATTACTTTATAAAGGAAGCATCATGACAAATGTACCATAGTCTTATATAACAGAAAAATTCCCAAATTACAATTATGCAATCCACTGTAACATTGCACTTTACTACTACTGTTTCCACAGGATAAGCTAGTGGAGTGAATGATTTTAAATTTTAATGGCAGTGTGCAAATGTGCAGCCACACGTCTCTGGAGGTTAATCTCGTGCTATAAAATAAATCAAAATATCGGACAATAGTTCCGAATACATTGAAGCGATGTAAAATACACTATATTAAAGTTGACATAATATTAAATTTAATTTACAAATTGAAAAAACAAAATTAAAAACCAGGTTTCTTAGTTCATTTGTATATGTTCCACAACCATTTTAAATCTTGAACTTGTCAAATACGCAAGATATATTAACGAAAAATGAGCTGTATTACAGATAAATAATTTGCAGTTGCCTTTAGTTTCAGACCCAAAGTACTAACTACCAATGATAGAGGAAAGTTTCCTGTAATGCTGCAGAAATATTTAAAGGTAAAATAAAACAGTAAATTTCCAAATACTTTTTACTCTTTTAACATTTCTAAAACCAGTGAAGTGCAGGTGAACTAATTTTCTAAATCAAATGAAAACTCACTTTCATTATAATTTTGATGTGATTGTTTTTGTTTTTATGGTGGTTAGAAGGTCAGTCAAATCGACCAAATCTGTACAGAGGTACAATAGTGAAAATGACATATAAAATATAAAGTTTATTCTGAAAAAAGCATCTGATAATTATCTGGAGGTTATAAAAATTATACATGTGAAAAAAATACTTATAAAAGTTGGTCCTTGGGACCAAACTCGTGCTGAAAGAGTTAGATGCCAAAATTACCAAATCTTATAACCCAACCAGTATTCTATGATGAGTCTTTTACTAGTTTGGCCAATAAAAGAGTTGTAATGACCCATGAAAATTGAGATGGTTACAAAGAGACTGCAACAAATATACAAATACAAATCTTACTCAGCCTCATAAAAATTTATTAAAAATTGCTGTAAAGGACTTAATCTACGTGTCTCTAATTATATAGAAATTAAATGTAAACATATCCAAACAAATAGAAAACAAACAAAACTGTGTAATACTATAGACTAAAAGTATATCTTGCATACATTCATGATGACAGAAACTATGTTTTTCTTACGTTTATATCAGAATGATTTATCAACACACAAAGTGCTGGAAGAAGTTCTTTGATGGTATCCTTTGGTGGAGGTGGTTCTTTGTTACGACAGAGGTTTACTATAACCCAGGTGATATTCCGAAGGAAAGAAAGTGGAATATCAGGTTTGATGAAAGTCAGTAAAGGCTGGACAACACCTAAGCTAATGACATAGTCTCTGAGATGGGGACCATCACCTAAAATTTTCAGAAACAGTTGATTCTATTATAAAGGACTAAATCAAAATTATTATCTTAAAAGTAATAATCCTAATAAAAACGTAATTTTTGTATAATTTTTAAATTTCCCACATTGTAATTTATATTGCCTTTGTTTTCAAACACGATAGAGGAAAACAGTTTTCTGCAACATAAAATAATTTTGAGTGGACAACCTACAAGTAAAAGTCAATTAATACTTACCAATAATATTTCCTAGTGCCCATACAGCTTGCTCACAAACATTTTGATGGGGCGACTTCAGAAGTTCTAAGAATAAAGGAACTGCACCTAGACATTTGAAACAAAAATAATGTTTACAGATTTGTTTATCAAAAATATGTATGTATGTATGCATGCATTTTAAGTTATTTTAGATCTAAGCAAACCCTAATCACACCATATAAGGCATATACATACATATAAATTTGTTCACTTTCATTTATTAACCTCCTGATGTCATTGAGATTTTACAGATCCAACATGAATGTTTGACAATTTCAAAGCTCAAGCTATCAAAGATATACATATCTGATTTTATTTTATCTATAAACCTAGTAAAAAGTCAATGGCCTCCACTTTAGATGAGGTTAATGGAATATGATAAATAAAACTTCAGTTACTGCAACAACCAACCTGCATTAACAACAGCCTGAGTCTGTTGTGATGTTCCAGAAGCTATGTTGGTTAAAGCCCATGCAGCTTCAAACTGAAGGGAAGGACTAGTAAACAGAGAAAAAAGAGAGAATACTGTAAAAGAAACTTACAAATGTGTATGAAATTATGCTTACATACCAAACAGAACAATTTTTTAAAACTCATTGTTTGCAGTTGTGTTTTGTAAAAAATAATATGTTTTCTTTATGCAAGTAGGAAGTTAAATATTTCTATTTCCCAAATTGGAGGATCTAGAATCAAAATTATGGTTAGCAGTGCAGAGTTTTTGTATTTTTTAAAAATTATTTAACCCAAAGCAAACATTAATAAAAATGCATATCAAAATAACTTCTAATTTTGTAGATTTCAGTTATATTTTTTATGTTGCACATGATTAGAGAGGAGAGAGATAATATAGAAGTTTAAAAATGGATTTCTGTCATTTGTGCTCATAAAAAATACAAGATACTGGGCTGGAAATGGTTAAATCAATAAGGCAGCCACATGAACATCTGTGCATGGAAATGTATTAGTATAATCTACTTAAATATTTACACGTCCAATAAGAATTTGTGTAACACGCAACTTAGAGATATGAATAAAAGTCATTCAAATAATTTCTAGCTTATCAACTGCTTTGCAGTCACACAAAAATAATCTTGTTTTCCAAAATCAAAGAAGACTATTTTTTGAGTAACTACAAGAAAACAATCGATTGTTAAAGATGCTCAATTTAAAATTCTTTGACTAACAAAGGTTATTAGAGCAAAATTACTGTTTTATACTTTAGTGGTTGGTTTGTATCAAAACATACCTTTCTTGAGTTATAATTTAAAGAAGCTTGAAATACTGTTTGGTTATTAATAAGTGAAAACCCGTAATGGCTAAACTGAACTAACACACTGATGTAAAGAATTTTGCATATACATACTTTGTGGTTTGCAGGCAGTGTACCAGGATGGGAAGAATTCCAGAATTGATCAGGTCATCAATTGGAGGATTTCGATCACTGGACAAGAGTTTCCTGGAAAATTTAAACCCCAAGTCAAGTATTTGAAAGAATAACATCACAACACCAACAAAGTTAAATAGATATCCATGAAAGCTTATGAGCTTGGTTTTATATTTTAACAATAAAACTAATAAGTGACAAAACTTCAAGTTAAGAACTCATGATAGAAAGTTGACAGTTGTCAAATAGTGACAGAATAAGTATGCTCGTACAAGTTATTTGAAAACAACTAGATAAGATTATTTACAAGAAAAACTCCATAAGAATTCTTGATTTTTACAACATCTTACACTTCATGTCAAAGATTGATCCTAGAATTCCAAGACACTTATATTGCTCGGAGATGGCTTGAATGTGTAATGAAGAAAAACTTTAATATAAGTTTAACATAACAGCAAACGTACAACGGTTCGACAAGGTTTTGTCATCATCAGATACAAGTAGTTTACACTGACACAGATATATATATACACACACACACAGTATGGAATAAAGAGGTCACATGACCAGATACTGTTGCATGACATATCTTGGCATCACAGGGTGTATTGTTTCATAGAATTATTATAATTTTTCTATACTGACTATATACATCTTATTTTAGTTGAATATATTAGCCTCTAATCTAATGATATTGCTGTCACGAAACACACAAAAATGTAAGACATCACTAGCATAGTTCTACTGTATTGTTAAAATCCGAAAAACATGATGAATTTGACTAGTTACTAATAATTAAAAATATTAACATAGTCATACCGAGGAGTGCATATTATATTAATAAACAGTATATTTTCTCACATCTATTGGACGTGGTCAACCTAACTACTGAAATTTTATTAAGGTCTTTTCTAAAAGTTAACTCTTTCAGAAAGGGGCTCGGTCCCAGGGGACTGAACT